ATTCTTTCCGTTACCATAAAAGTTAATTCATTTATATTTAACATATCAGCTTTGGAATAAACATCTTTTAAAAGATCTAAATTTAAGCTATCTTCAAATTTCCCCGTGTAAAGATGATATAAAATACATCCAAATGCGAGATATGGTTTTCATAAACCTTCTAACCATTCTCCACTTAATAATCTTTCAAAATATTCAGATCTGGCAGCTAAAATAACTCGATGAGCTTTTAAATTTGAACCAAATCAAATAAAAATTCCACATCATAAAAAAGATTTTCACTGAAAAATCGTTAAAAAGGTAAAAGTGAATTTATATAATATTCTGGTATAACATTCATTAAACTTGAATCTTCCCCATGTGTCATTGTTGTTGTCGTTGTCGTCGTTAAATCATCAAATATTTCAGCTCGTACCGATAAATCCATTTCAGGTAAATTTGGTAAATATGATTTCATTGGGATATAAATCTTTAATCTGGCAAATCCATAATCCGCATTCACTCCATTAAATTCAAAATTTACTTCTAATATGTGTCGATCAATTATGAGATTTGTTACTTGGATGGTATTTAATTGCTCTCTTCCGAACGATATATAAAGCTAATCTAAATTTTTTGTGTCTACCAGTTATACCATTCTGTCTTTCGTAATGAGTTTGTATTGCTTCAAGATAAAGTGAAACAAATTCAGTTGATTTTTTGTCACCAACATTAGGAAATAATTTTAGTCTCCACAAATATTCAGTACTATTATTATTATTGACATTTCGTTGATGGGCAATGTTTAAATTAGTAACCGGATCTCGAATAAATAACTGAAACACTATAACAATTTTTAAAAATTCTAAAAATTTGTTTACGAGCAAATAATTTCGCTATATACGATAGATATAATCGAAATTACCTTCTGCAATATTAAAACAGAATCCTTAGACATATTTATATGATAAAGAATTTCATCATCCAAGATACGTCAATTATCTCATCTTCAACACCTCGGAATTGTGATGACCAAGGAGCAT